CTTCAGATGGGTTGCTGGGAATTTTATAGTTAGTTTCTAGCATATCTCCCATTGAGAGAAAGAGCAATTTTAGTGCTCTTTAGACTTTGGGCATCGCCATCTGCTTATTCTATTTTGCAGCTCTTGAACTCATTTAGCATGTTGGGCTCATTTTGTGTTTGTGTGTGTATTGCATTTTGTTTGCTGCAGAGGGCTCAGAGCAGAGAAAGTATTGTCAACTGGGCTGTTAACAAACAAACAAACAAACAAACAATAAATGGTGGCGTGATGTGTTTTGCAAATAAGGACATGAAAACCAACAGATTGAAGGTTGACTCAGAATACAATCCTCTTAAATAACCAAATTATCCAGCTTGTGGCTTAAATATCAACAGTACAGGAAATGTATATTCAGCAGCCAGCTAGCTTCATTCCTCCACTTTGTTGTTTTAGTTTAATACACCAATAATCCACCATATGAACAAACTATCATAAAGACAGGATGCAGCTGATGGAAGACAGCAAGAAAAGATGCTACCTGGCAGAAGCTAGGGTTTTCTTCCTTGCTGGACTACAATTCCGAGCAATCCTACCTCCGATGGTTAGGCAAGCCAGGGTTTCTAGGAGCCATAATTCAACATCTTCCAAAGCCCACAGCTTTCCTACCCATGGACAGCAACCAACATTATAGTGTTAGGATCAGACAAATTGGCTAGGTTGGATTCCCAAAATGTACTCTATTTTAAACCCAGGTTAAAAAAAGATATATTTGTGTTCACATCCATTAAGCCCAAACAAACCATCTGATGGCTTAATGTGGTGGTCTGGTTAATACATCATGCCAAGATAACTGAGGGGTCCCTATAAAAAGCAGGATCATTAACCATATCGACCTATTTTAGCTGAATGTAATGCAGGTAGTCCTCAAGCAGTGTGGTGGCCTAGTGGTGAACATGCTTCCCTCCCATTTGGAAGGTTGAGAATTCAATCATAGGTAGCTGCAGATGTTTCTCTCCTAGGACTGAAAGAAAAAACTTCTGCTGTGAACTCTGCATAGGCATCAGGAAGGGCATCTGGCCAGTAAATTCTCAGCTCCATCCAGTCATCTCGATTACCCCAAATTAAGGGATTACAGGGTCACAAAATGGGAGTTTTTAATGCAGATAGTTGTTTAGCATTTGTTTAGCAATCAAAGTTATTGAAAATAAGTGACTTACAACCGGTCCTCGGACTTACAACCATTGCAGCATGTCCATAGTCATGTGATCAAAATTTGGATACTTGGCAACTGGCATGTATTGTATTTATGATCGTTGCAGCAATCGGGGGGGGGGTTCCTGTGTCATTTGTGACCTTCCCAGTTGGCCTCTGATAAGCAAAGTTGGTGGGGGAAGCCAGATTCGCTTAACAACCTCATGATTCACTTAACAACTGCTTGGCTTAGCTATGGAAATTCTGGCCTCAATTATGGCCATAAGGCGAGGACTACCTGTATGTTTTTTTTTTACTCCAGGGAGATTTAATCATCTTTTTAAAAGGAAGAACAGCCTGCATGATTGGCTCAAAGCCTGTTTCAGGGCTTCAAACCATGGATCGCTTTTCTACCTTTTCCCTCTGGATGTGCAAGAATGTTTCCCTCCGTCTCTTAGCTTAGGTATGCCTGTCTCTTGGCTCCCCCAAATCTACATCTACAAATCAACTTATATTCCCAAGTTTCGGGCAAGTTACCAAGCAGCTGGTGAGAAGCTTCCGCTGAAATTAGTATTGATCATCTTTGGGAAATGGATGTTACAACTGAATCCAGGCAATTTATTCTCCCCATAAAGAGGTAATCCTGGTTACTAAAGCAATTTTTCCATCTGCAAGAATCTTAACCATCCATGGAGGATGCAGAGGTCGCAGAGTCTGCTTACTGCAAATATAGCACCTGCTATCTAGGGCTCCAGTGCCTGGCCCGTAAATCTGCAGACAACCACTAGGTGCCAGCAAAGAGAAGCCTTTATTGCTCAACTTTGGCAACTTTGTGTATGGGCTACAACTCCCAGAATTCACCAGCCAGGTTGTGTGGAGTTCAAGTCCACACATGAGCTAGCAGTATGCGACAGCAGCCCAAACGGCTAATATAATCCTTGGTTGTATAAACAGAGGCAAAGAATCAAAATCACGTGAAGTATTAGTGCCGCTTTATAAAACCTTAGTAAGACCACACCTGGAATACAGCATCGAGTTTTCATCACCACTTTACAAAAAAGATGTTGAGACTTTGGAAAAAGTGCAAAAAAGAGCAAAGGCCTGGAGACTAAAACCTATGAAGAACGGTTGCAGGAATTGGGTATGGCTAGTCTAGAGAAAGGAAGGACTATGGGTGACATGATAACGGTCTTCCAATATCTCAGGGGTTGCCACAAAGAAGAGGCATCAAGTTATTCTCCAAAGCACCTGAAGGCAGGACAAGAAGCAATGGATAGTAACTAATGAAGGAGAGAGCCAAGCTAGAACTAAGGAGAAATTTCCTGACAGTGAGAACAATTAACCAGTGGGACAGCTTGCCTTCAGAAATTTTGGGTGCTCCATCACTGGAGGTTTTTAAGAAGAGATTGGACAGCCATTGTCTGAAATTGTATAGGGTTTCCTGCCTGAGCAGGGAGTTGGACTAGAAGACCTCCAAAGTCCCTTCCAGCTCTATTCTGACTGATTGCCATCTTAAAAGGTGAGAAACAGTGCTATATAAAAAAAGCTAATTGTGTTGTTCAGACTGCGGAAGGGGAAAGGCTCCCAAAAATTGGATCGGGGTGTGGCATGCACGTATGCACATGATCCACAATTTGCTCATCCTAATTTTGCCCCTCCGAATTGCAAGCTGCAGTTGCTCTTAGATTTGCACCCTCCAAAGAGAAGACAGGGAAGACTGTTCTGCCATGGGTCTTATTTTAAGCCCTGGGCTGGTTAGAATGCTTAGTCCAGTCTTTGAATCGAATGAAAACCTGGCCAAATGGCTGACCTCACTCTCCAGTGGCTGCTGGTTTCTCCTGCAACCGTGATGATAGATTGATCTTTTTTATCAGTCCTCCTCATTGGTGATTCCCTATTGGCAATGACTTAATAATGCATGACGTGCTCCACTCGGTTGAATTAAGTCACCGTCTGCAGCTGTTGGGGAAGAAGTCCTGCAGGGCTGGAACTATTCAATCCATCATGCAGCATTTGTGGCAGCGTGGAGCAGGAAAACCTATTGTTTCCATCGCATGGATTCGAGTCCAGGGAAAGGAGCGGAGGCACCAAAGAGAAAGAATAAAAATGGTGGATTGCATTCAAGGAAGGAACGTGGTGCTCTTCACGGATTCCTCCCATATGGAAATTTAGGCATTCCTCCCCACGCCCAGTTTGGAGATATAAAAGTAAGAAAAGGCTGAATATAGGTAGTCCTTGATTTATGACAACAGAGCCCCAAATTTATGTTGCTAAGTGAGAAATTTGTTAAGTGGGTTTTGCCCCAATTTATGACTTTTCTTGCTACCTTTGTTAAGTTAATCACTGCAGTTGTTAAATTAGTAACATAGTTGTTAAGTGAATCTGGCTTCCCCTTTGACTTTGTCAGAATGTCGCTAAAGGTGATCACGTGACCCCAGGACACGGCAACCATCATAAATATGAATCAGTGGTGAAGCATCTGAATGTAAATCACATGACCATGGAGATGCAGCAACGGTCGTAAGTGTGAAAACTGGTCATCAGTCACTTTTTTCAGTGCCGTTGTAACTTTGAACAGTCACTAAATGAACTGTTGTAAGTTGAGGACGACCTGTAGCCATATCTGGATGTTCATGCTTCCACTTTGGGGGGCGGGGGAAACCTGGCTGTCAGTGGATAGGTAGGAGGACAAACAGTGGCCGTTTCAATAAAATAAATAAGTAAAATAAAATAAAATAAAAACTCAAAGAACTATCCACGATGGGAAAAAGGCTTCTGCTGTTTTTCAGGGTTAGGGTTAGGATGGGGGGGGGAGTGGGGGAGACAGGAAGGAAATTTGCTATTTTTAAAAGAAAAACAATATGAGTGCTGAGAACTCCTTGGTGGTCTCTGAACTTGGTGGCTTTCTTGCTAATACTGATGGATAATGAAACGTCTGCAAGAAAAGCACCAAGCTTAAAGACCAGCAAGGACCCCTCATTCGAACTCTTAGAACATAGAACACAGAATAACAGAGTTGGAAGGGACCTTGGAGGTCTTCTAGTCCAACCCCCTGTTCAAGCAGGAGACCCTATACCATTTTAGACAAGTGGCTGTCCAAACTCTTCTTAAAAACCTCCAGTGATGGAGCACCCACAACTTCTGAAGGCAAGCTGTTCCATTGATTGCTCTAGCCATTAGGACTCTATCACACTTTATGATAGCAATGGATGGAGTCTGAAGCAAAAGTGGGTGGAGACTTTCTTGCTCTTTCTGTCTTTCTTTCTTTTCTTTCTTTCCCTTCCTTTCCCTCTCCCTCCCTCCCTCCCTCCCTCCCTCCCTTTTTCTTCTCCTCTTTTCTTCCTCCCGTCTCCTTTTGATTCTCTTTCTTCTGCCCTTCAACTCACATTCCAGGAATAACTTGCTTTCTGATTGAGGATTGGCAGAGAGATTTGAAATGAGAGTGCAAGTCAACTGCCCCTTTTGTTTGTCAGTTGTGTGGCAACCCATTGTCATCTATCTCTTTGTCCCCAAGTGCATCATGGGAAGCATTCACAAGCTCTTGGTATGCAGCCGTGATGAAAAATAATATATTTGGCTAACAGCAACAATAACAAGATCACAACGAAACCATTGAGATCATCTAAGTATGGCTGATTAAGCTGGAGAGAAGCAGAGAGAGTCAGCAATACCTCATTCTCTCTCCCGTTTTCCCCCCAGGCATTAAGATAGTGTGACATCAGCCCCATCTGCTATTAAAAGCAGTGGTACATCAGATTTGCTGTAAAATATGTGCACATGTACATATGTGCTGAGAGGCCCTGAGAAGAATACAAACCTTGGAGCATGTGTATTGCTGAACGACATAATTTATTTCGCTTTCCTGCTATATATAATAGAAAAACCATTGTCTGCCTCGTATATTAAGGGTGCTCTCAGATGCGTTAGGACTTCACCTCCCAGGATTCTTAGGCCATGTTGGCTTGGAATGTTGGAACTGAGTCCTAAAACATCTAAAAACATTACAAAGGTCCACCTTTCTCCAAAAAAGATGAAACTCGAGAATGATATAACTTTTAAAGAGATCAGATCACCCGTGCCCCAAATGGGCCATTGTTTCAGAGGTATTTCCCTATGTAAAAAGAGAAAGAGCATGACCAAGGACAGGCAGAAAAGCAGCAGGAGCAGGACAGATTTCCAACTTTCCGTCAGGTTCCCACCTTGAGAAGCTATTTGGGGAAAATACAGCCTTTGTAAGTGGCAAGTACAGACGTGGCAGCAGTTTCTCTGAAATTAAACAATTTCAGAATCAGGATTGGTTGGAAGACATTCTAAGTGAAGACCACGGATTCCTCTGCCCTCTGTTGCTAGATATACTTCCTAACAAATCATGTGCTCAACCTTTGCTTTGCTGAACAAGCCGCAGAGCCCTGCAGTTTCCCATCTAGGAGCCATAAAGGTAATTGAGGAACTGCGGAGGTCACACATCAAGCTGAGCAATATACTGTATGCAAAATGCATCACATTGCAGTTCATCAGGACTTGGATCCATCACAACCTGCCACTGAGATCTTAAGGTGCGGATGTTGTCGCTACTCTGCAATTTTAAGCAAACGCAAAACCTGTGACCCCGTGAGCACCAATCTCTGGCCAAAGGAAATTCCTGCCAATCAGCAAGAGAGCCTAGTTATGCCCAAAGGGAGGGAAGGTCAAAAATATTCTTTTTTTTGCTTATGAAAAGAAAATTTACACATTAGAAGTAATGTTTTTTGTTCTAGAAATTCAAGCTGTATAAGACTGCCCTCTTGTGTAAGACCATGGGTATAATGTTAATATTTCTGGGCTGGGCTGGGGTTTGAGAATGCAAAAATAGAGCAATGTATGTATAGTAGTATCCAAAGATCTGCCTTTCATTTTAAAAGTTAAGATGCTAGTCCTCATGCATTGCAAAGATGATTCTGAAACGTACAGGTAGTCCTTGATTTACAGCTGTTTGTTTTAAGGCAATTCTAAATTACGATGGTCTCAGAAAAAGTAACTTATAACCCATTTGAACTTACAACTGTTGCTCACGATCATAATCCAGGCATTAGGCAACCGGTTTACATTTATGATGGTTGCCACCTCTGTGATCACGAGATTGCGATTTGTAAACTTCCCAGCTGGCTTCTGACAAGCAAACTCAGTTGGGGAAACTGGATTTGCTTAATGACTGTGTGATTCACTTAATGACTTTGTGATCTGCTTAACAGCCATAGTAAAAATGGTTGTAAATTTGGATCCAGACTCACTTTTATGATTGCATCATTAGCAACTAAAATTCTGGTTCAAAGTCAATTGGGAAAACTGGATTTGCTTAATGACTGTGTGATCCACTTAACAAAGTGACTCATATGACTCAAATGATTGTAAAATTGGGTGCTTAACAACCACATCACTTAGCGACCCAAATTCCGGTACCAATTATGATCGTAAGTCGAGGACTACCTGAAATGGATAATAAATGTGAGAGCATAAGCTACCAGTAATTTTAAATGCTTTGTCCTTTACATCAGAAATGGCTGGGGAGAAAATGTAAAACTGTCTCCACAATTCATATAATTTAAACCTATTTAAAAATTCAGTTCTTGGTGCAGAATCCAAATATGAAGGTTTTCATTTTTTCTTTCTCTTCTAATAGCATAGGGTACCTGTTAGTTTTCTATTGCCATCTAGGCTATAACGGGAGAGCATTGTGTGATACCTGTGTAAAACATCGCACCAAGGAGGTGGAGGACAAACAGCACTAGAACAGACCATTTGTCATCGTGAAAGGCAGTTTACAGTTTTCTAAAATTACCCTTTTTAAGTATTTGTCATTTCCTTTGCTGCTGCTGAATGAACAAAGAGAAATAATCCAGCCTCACTCGTCTCACGTTTTTTAAAATTAAAAATAAATATTTCAAGTGTCCGTACATGTCTCCCTCTTTGAAGCACCATGGGCTCAATCAAGCAGGCACGGCTGAAAACGGCCTCTGAGAGATCTTGTTTGAAAAATGCAAACAACGGAACAAAAAAAGTAAACCAACTCCATTGGTTCCGAAGACAAGAAAGCAACAATGTCCTCCCCTTGTAAATGTCCTACAGGAGCATACAAATACACTTAAGGCAAAAAGAAAAAAAAGGAAACAGGGAACAGGAAGAATAACTTAACTCTAAAGAAAACCAACAGCCTTCTCCATCCCCCATAGATGCACAAACAAGATCAACAGATCTTGCCTGTTTTTGACTTCTTGCACTCTTCCATGCTCTGCTTTTCTTTCCCCCACTTAAATTAGATTTTATTCCATCAGTCCCTTTCTGTTCAAGTTATTGTCAGTTCTTTTCAGGTTTTCTCTTGGCATTCTGATTAAACACCACTGCCACCTGCTGGCGAGTCTCAGGTGCAGCAAGCGCTTGGAAGCAGCACACCTTTTTTCCCTAAAACATGGCATTGCCATTGCCTAATAAAGGGGGAGGAATTTAATTGCCTTTATGTCCATCCAGGGTGCCCACCCTCTGCTTGCTAAAGAGAGGGAAGATAGGAGTTATTTAAACCGGTGTTTCTTAACCTCAGACACTTTTAAGGCCTATGGACTTCAACTCCCAGAGTTCCCCCAACCAGCATGTTAGTGGGAGAATTCTGGGAATTGAAGTCCATGCCCCCCTTAAAGTCGCTGAGGTTCAGAAACATGGATGTAAACCACAGCATCTAGCCAGGAAAATGAAAATACAAGCACTAGTGCCCATGCGTAAAGATTTCCCAGAATCATGCGACTGCAGGAAGGGGTGGGAGGCAAGGCGGCGCATCAGTCAGTCCCACTGCTGAAGCAGCTTGATCACCACTGGATTTGTAAGCTACACTTATGGCTGATCTCCCATGAAAGCTTGGCCATCATGTGAAATCTGGATTCTTACAGACTGAGTCACCCTATAAGTCAGGTCCAGACCAAAAGGGGAACACCTTGCATTCTGGGTCCGCTTTCGTGTCCTGACACAAAGAAAGTCTATCTTATCAATTGCTTCACAGTTCTAGATTCCACGCGGAAGAAGGCAAGCAAAATGCCGGCCATCTTGGTTGCCGGAGTGGCCCCCTAGGCCAGCTCCCATGTTGGGGTCCCCAGAGGGTGAGACTGATGGGGTCCTCAGGAAGAGATTGAGGTCCTCAAGACTGTCGCTTCTGAAATCAGTTCCCCAAAGCGAGTGTCCACTTCCGTTTCTTTCTCACTGAAGATGGAAGGAGTCCGGAAGGGGTGCAACTCTGTCATACGTGGGTCTGCATACGCTGTTGAGCAGGGCGCCCATAGTCAGACTGCTGAGACAAGGAAGTGTAGGAGAAACGGGAGCAGCCCGAAGCTTTGCTGGCTTGATCGGACTGCTCGTAGCCGCTCTCGGCCTTCTCATAGCTGCTCGGCTTGACGTAGCTAGTGAAAGCCCGGCTATAGGGAGCCGTGAGGTAAGTCGCCCCACTGTATATGTTCTCTGGAGGGAAAAGCCGCTCGTGGGTGGTGTCATATGCAGAACGGGAACTGGGAGTGCCTAAGGTGTAGCGGTGGGTGTAGTCAAAGAGTTTGGGTTGCACCGGCCCCGTGGAGGGGTACAAGGAAGTTGGCCCAAACAAAGGTCGGGGGGCTGGCGTGTATTCTGAAAAGCTGCTTCCCAAGCAGGGCTCCTCATGGGCACGCACCTTGTAGTAGCCATTGGTGGGGTCCTATGGAGAAAAGAGAGTCGTGAAATTGAGAGATGGGGTCTCTGCTTGATCCTTGGGTTGCCAGCCAGGAGCTGTGCCTTTTTTAAGATACAGTATTGCAGAATAGTTTTCCATGGATCAGAATTGTTGGTGGCAGGTGAATCTAAATCTCATCTATCGTAGGAATCTTCTCCCCCACAATTTCCTTTTCCCTCATTTGTTTATTCATTGGAGACATCTCCAACCCCTCTTTTCTCCAAGAGCAAAAGCCTACAGTACTGGTGAAGATCGTCTCCCGTTCATCTCCACCACCACAACTCTTGGAAGGAAGGTGGCTTGAAAGAGAGCGAGAGGTCTACAATTCCCCCAGGTAGACCCAGAACCAAGGGGGGACCTGAATGCAGATAAATTCCTCTGCAACCGCACTGGCTCGGTCAGATATGCAGGAAATCCCGTACAGCCCCAGCTGAGCTCACCTTCAGCTCCTGACTCCCTTCGTCATCCTCCAGGATTTCACTGTGTTCAGTGTGGGACGTGGCTGGAGACTCGCTGCTTGTAGCCTGGAAGCAGAGAGAAAGGTGAGCATTGCTATCCAAGAGGCTTTGCGCAGCTTCAGGCCCAGAACTGAAACTGCCACCTGGCTAGGACCTTAAAACAGAAGGGAGCAATAATGCCAGTGTCTTGTGGGGGGCGGAGGAGTAGAAGAAGGAAAGAATAAAGCCAAATTTAAAACAATCACTCTTCACTTGACAGTTACCAGACCATTGGGAACCGCCCCTCAAAACAGTGGGCCCAAATATGAGCCAATCATGAACACGGAAATTCAAATATCACAAAACAAGAACTTGGAAGCTATGTAGGTCTTCCTGGTGGCCCATTCTATGTTCTAGGGCAGGGGTAGGCAACCTTGGCTCTTTTATGACTTGTGGACTTCAACTCCCAGAATTCCTGAGCCAGCATAGCTGGCTCAGGAATTCTGGGAGTTAAAGTCCACAAGTCATAAAAGAGCCAAGGTTGTCTACCCCGTTCTAGGGTGTCAGCCCCCCCCCCCCCAATCCAAGAAAGACATGTGGAGTTTCTTCTGAGTAGTTTTCTGTATTGTTCCTCACTTATAGATAGAAACTTTTGCCAAACTAAACTATTTGCATCATTATATACACCAGGGGTGGGTAATTAAGGAGCTACATGCGAAACTGGAACTGTTGCGGAGAGCTGAACCAATAGGGCAGCCGCGGTGGGCCAAACAGGTTTGGCCAAAGGGCTCGATGTGGCCCGCGGGCCCTAGAATGTCCAGGTCTGATATACAGGCAGTACTCCCGGAATCGTTAGTGAGGAACCCTTTTAACTGTCTTCCTCCCAACCAAATTTTCCATGCTTTGTTGCCCCTTTGCCCTCTGGAAGGCAGCTCCTCCCTCCTGGGAATCCAGACTCCATTCCACCACAGAGGCCAAGTGAGATATGACACCTGTGCTTTTTTTGCCATGCCGTCATCCAAATCAGTTATGCCTGGAGTGGCTGCATTTTTACAACATGCTAGGCTTGACTAGTTTTAATCTAAACTAGATTTTGTTTTGGGGGACGGGAGATAATGCGTTGTGTGAATTCAGGCCATTTAACCAGTGTGTAGTAGGGTGAAAAGACTTCAAGAGATTTATTCAGGAACCAGGCTGAGTGGGCTGTATGAACACAGCCAATAAAGATTTAGGATTAGGCGGCCTGTGTGACATTCATGAACCAATGCCAGGGTTTAGGTGGTTAAAACAATGCCACCTATGGCAAAAAAAGCAATGAGATGAACATGCTTGTTGAACCTGAAGATTTGCAGGGATAACCCCCCCAAATCTTACCATTTTTAATTGGTGCAGAGGGATTTCCCCAATACCCACTGAGGACGTGGGGACTCCATCAGTGGAGGAGGCAGCAGGGACTGGGGAATCTGAGAAACAAAGGAAGGGCATGATTTCCTGGTGGCTAGATCAGTGTTTCTCAACTTTGGCTACTTTAAGAAGTATGGACTTCAACTCCCAGAATTCCCCAGCAAGCCATGCTGGCTGGGGAATTCTGGGAGTTGAAGTCCATACTACTTAAAATTGAGAAACACTAGGCCAGGTCCAGGGGGAATGAATTAAGAGTATCCTAGAAAAACGTAAACAGGCTGGCTGGAACTCTGCAGAGCAGACGAGGAAAGAGTATTATTGATTGGGGGGAAAAAAAAAACCCACTGGAAGCGATGTCCCTAGCAAATTATACAACTTTTTGCCTCAAGCATTCAGACAACTGCACTCTATTCTACAACCTTTAGCTGCAGCTCTGCCCCCTACCACACACAGTGTGTAATTTTGAATTCTGCATATGCCTCATTTGTTTGTGGCTACAATGAAAAAAGAAGTACTTTCTCTCTCCCCCCCCCCAAAAAAAGAGCAGGCCAGCTCAGCTAGCTGGGACTGGATGCTGCAGAAACAGGGACTTGGCAGAAATAGAGGATCCCGTGAGTGCCCATCTCTGCATACCATCGGTTCCTTGGCGTCATCTTCAACCTCACTGGGCCTGCTGGGGCTGCTCTCGCTTGTGGTGATCTGCACGAGGATATCGGCCTTAGACAGCTGCGTTCCCCGCTTGGCTATGCAAGAGACAGATGGACAGAGGCGGATGTCAGATCATGCTCCCCATCACCTAGGAAGTTACTCTTAAGGACAAAGGTTGATGACGCTTGCAGGAACCCCACATCTGGGGCCATCTGTGGTTTGTTGATGGATGTGTAAACAAAGGGACAGAGAGAAGGGGCTGTTTATGACTGTAATTGAGCAGACCCATTCACAACATTTTTTTGCACCTGTTATTAAGTGAACGCTGCAGTTGTTAAGTGAATACATTCTTCCCAACGGGTGTTTTTGCCAGGAACCAAAAGTAAACCCTGGAAACCAGAGAAAAATGTGGGAAAAAAAATAAGATCACAAGACTATAGGACGCCGCAAGTGGCTGTGAAGTTAAGTGAGTCGCCAAGCGTCCAAAATGTGGTCATGTGATGGGGGAGGTTTTGCGGCTGTTGTAACTTCAAAGTTGGATTGTAAATCATTTATGGGGTGAATCTGTCATCACTTGGAACGGTTACTAAGTGGCCAGTTGTAAGCCGAGGACTAACTGTATGATGGGATATTGAGAAAAAGGAAGAGGGGCCTTGAGGTGGTGGCACAATGGTTAGAATGCAGTATTGCAAGCTAACTCTGGCCACAGCCAGCAGTTCGATCCTGACTGGCTCAAGATTGACAGCCTTCCATCCTTCCCAGGTCAGTAAAATGAGGACTTGGATTGTTGAAAGTAATAGGCTCAATAGGCTGACTCTGTAAACTGCTCACAGAGCGCAGTAAAGCACTATAGGGTGCTATATAAGTGCTACTTCTATTGCTAGAGTATTTGAGGCTGTGATATATATGGCTAAAAGAGGAGAATGACGATGGGGGGGTGGTGGTGTTCATTATCTGAAGTGTCCATTAAATCATAGTGTCTGTCGTCCCAATGATTTACATTGTTTGCATGATGATGCTTCTATGCAAACAATGCCCATTATGTCAGCTGTGTAATGAGATCATTGCCCCAATAATGGAAATAAGATCATTTGCTCAATGGCATCAGCAGGCCAATGACAAAGATGATGTCATTATGCACAGGACACAAACTGCTTCAGGAAGTGGGCTTGCTGCACACAAGATGAAGTTGTATCAAGGACTGATAAACTGAGATTTTTCCTTCCTCGGTGAAGCCAGAAAGGGCCCTACTTGGGGTTCTACTCCATGCCTCATTATATCACTGGGCTACTCAAGGTGGCCCTGAGAACTACTGTGGTATCCTATCCTGTTCCTACAGAGGGTCCGGACTTTCCTTGGCCCCATGTTTCTCCATGTTCCTGCAATGATAGCAGTTTTGGGAGTTGAAGTCCACACATCTTAAAAGTTGCTAAGGTTGAGAAACTCTGGCTTAGTAAGGCCACCCATGGAATGCTGCATCCAGTTTTGGTTACCAGGATGTAAAAAAGATGTTGAGACTCTAGAAAGAGTACAGAGAAGAGCAACAAAGATGATCAGGGGACTGGAGGCTAAAACATATAAGGAATGGTTGCTGGAATTGGGTATGTCTAGTTTAATGAAGAGAAGGACGAGGGAGGACATGATAGCAGTCTTCCAATATCTCAGGGGATGCCCCAAAGAAGAGGGAGTCAAGTTATTCTCCAAAGGATCTGTAGGCAGGACAAGGAAACTAACAAAAGAGAGAAGCAACCTAGAACTAAGAAGAAATTTCCTGACAGTTAGAACAATTAATCTGTGGAACCACCTGCCTTTAGAAGCTGTGAATGCTCCAGCACTGGAAGTTTTTAAGAAGAGACTGGATAGCCATTTGTCTGAAGTGGTATAGGGCCGTGGTGGCGAACCTATGGCACAGGTGCCCTAGGCGGCATGCGGAGCTGTCTCTGATGGCACATGAGCCATTGCTGGGCCGAGCTGCTCCCTCCTCCTCTCTGCACATGCACAGTCTGGGAATAGGCGAGATGCTATAAAAGGAGCAACTTTCTGCGGAAACAACATTTGCTGCAGACAGCAAGTGAGCGAGCATGAGTCAGAGCAGACAGCGAGCGAGCGAGAACAAGCTGACAGCTTGGTGGCCACGCCCACTTGGTGGCCACGCCCACCCGGCACCTGGCGATGCATAAGTGGGTTTTGGGTTGCAGTTTGGGCACTCTCTAAAAGGTTCGCCACCACTGGTATAGGGTTTCCTGCCTGAGCAGGGGGTTGGACTAGATGACCTCCAAGGTCCCTTCCATCTTTATTACTATTATTACTATTATTGTTGTTGTTGTTGTTGCCTTGCAGCTGGGCTTTAACTCAAGAAAGGACTGCAAAGTCCAGGGAGAGAGGAAGGAGAAGGAGCGAGAGAAAGTTGCAGAAATCCTCACCTTTTCCGCAGCGCTTGCGGCGATAGCAGAGAGACACAAAGACCACTAAGAGCAAGAGAGCCACAACGCCCGAGGCAGCCAAAGCACCCAACATCAGGACAGACAGGACCTCTTGGTAGAAAAAAAAAACATGGTTTGGATTAGTTTCATCTCTGCACTACTAGGGTCTTCTCCCACTTGGAGACTCTAAGCTGGAGAAAGCTACTAACTTCTTAGCAAGCTTCCTCATTTTTCTCCTACTTCCAAAGACTTCAGACAAACCAGCAAAAATTCATCTCTTTGGAATACAGTAATGAATTGACAGCATTTGGTTTGTGGGGTAAAATACTTGCATCAAAGTTTTAATCTGGTTGCTGAATTAACTCTTTTTTTTTTGGCCAAAGGGCAAGATACCAAACTAGCCAAATGGTCTGGGTTTGCAGAAGAAGCTACTCAAGATGAATGCTGCATCTGGCAGATGTTTATCTAAACCAGGGGTGTCAAACTGCTGGCCCGCAGGCCGGATGCATCATAGCGAAACTGTGCCCACCCCATTGCCGGCAATGGCAAAAAAGTCACAATATGTCAGGACAGGTCACATGACGTTGCAAGTTTGACATCCCTGATCTAAACTAATGGAGTCTTTCAGGGGGAGGAGAGTCAAATTAGGAAGTGGAGATCACCTGCATTTGATGAAGAGAACCACTGTTCACTTATCCTTCCTTTTAATAAAATTTATGAGTCTCAAAAGGTGCTAACTATCAGACTCCTTTTGAAATTTGACTACCGTAATTTCCGGCGTATAAGACGACTCGGCGTTTAAGACGACCCCCGACTTTGGTGCTGATTTCTGCGCTTTAGAAAGTCATCTTATACACCGGAAAATATGGTACATGCTAAGATATTAGTATCTAAATGCGCTAATCTTACAGCTATTGGTATTCTATAACACACTGAACTGCAAATGAGTCCTTCCTTCCTTCCTTCCTTCCTTCCTTCCTTCCTTCCTTCCTTCCTTCCTTCCTTCCTTCCTCCCTCCCTCCCTCCCTCCCTCCCTTCCTTCCTTTCCTTTCTTCCTCCCATCCATCCATCCATCCATCCATCCATCCATCCATCCATCCATCCATCCAACCATCCATCTATCCACAACTCTGGTTGATTAACATCAAGTTAAAATAAATAATAACAAATAACCCCAAACAAAAACAACAATAATCAAAGTACAGCTGAGGCCAAACACCGTCTCAATCCTTTCAGATGGGGGCTCATCTCCAACATCCTGGCTCAGCGCCTGGGAGAAAAGCCAGGTTTTCACGGTCTTCCAAAAGGCCAGAAGAACCGGGCTCCTCTGAACCTCAGGAGGAATGCTGATCCCATGCAGCAACAAGGAAGGCATCCTTCCTGGGTCCCATCAAAGGTCACGTTCTAGAAAGGGATCTTGGAGAATGCCATCTTTTTGGATCTTTTGAGAGAACTGATGGGCGATACGTGGTCCTGCGAATAATCATGTTCTGTGCCATGAGGACTGATTGCGTGTGGCGTGAACCCAGCTAATTAGCTACAACAGGCCGCTGAGTCCAGGCAGCCATGACCAAACTTGGTCTAGCAAAAAGAGGAGACGCACCTTGGCGGCGTAAGCTGACTGCAACGGAGCGGGCGCCAAAGCGGTTCCAAGCCGTGCAGTTGTAGGGAAGGGCGAAGTCATCATCGTGGGTTGGGTCGATCAGCAGGGCTGAGAGCACCCCTTGCTCGGTCACTACGGTGTCCACTGTGAAACGATCCAGTGAGCCAGCATCCAGCATCCGTTCGCCCCATGCCCAGGCCTGGAGCAGAAGAGAAAGGTGAAACAAAGGGGCACTGGGGAAAAACTACAGGAAATCCTCGACTTTCAACAGTTTGCTTAGTGACTGAAGTTACAACAGCACCAAAAAAGTGACTTATGACCATTTTTCACCCTTAGGACTGCTGCATCCCTATAATAATAATGGTGATGTTGATGCTTGAAGGGACTTTGGAGGTCATCTAGTCCAACCCCCTGCTCAGGCAGGAAACCCTATACCATTTCAGACAAATGGCTGTCCAGTCTCTTCTTAAAAACTTCCAGTGTTGGAGCATTCACGGCTTCTGGAGGCAGGTTGTTCCACTGGTTAATTGTTCTGTCAGGAAGTTTCTCCTTAGTTCTAGGTTGCTTCTCTCCTTGGTTAGTTTCCATCCGTTGCTTCTTGTCCTGCCTTCAGATGCTTTGGAGAATAGCTTGACTCCCTCTTCTTTGGTGCGTCCCCTGAGATATTGGAAGACTGCTATCATGTCCTCCCTCGTCCTTCTCTTCATTAAACTAGACATACCCAATTCCAGCAACCGTTCCTTATATGTTTTAGCCTCCAGTCCCCTAATCATCTTTGTTGCTCTTCTCTGTACCCTTTCTAGAGTCTCAACCTCTTTTTTACATTGTGGTGACCAAAACTGGATGCATGACCCTGTTTGGTCATGTGATCAAATTTTGGACGCTTGGCAACTGGTTCATATTTATGACTTTTTGCAGTGTCCTGGGGTCATGTTATCCCCTTTTGCAACCTTCTGGTGAGCAAAGTCAATGGGGAAGTCAGATTCACTTAACAACTAATTTAACTAATTTAACAACTGCAGTGATTCACTTAACAACCCATGGAAGAAAGGTCATAAAATGGGGCAAAAGACCTCACTTAACAAATCTGTCACTTAGCAACATAAATTTTGGGCTCAATTGTGGTTGTCAGCTGAGAACTACCTGTACACAGGTAGCATCTAGATAGCTGTCCTATGGAAGTTCTTTTTACAAAATAAACCTCTGGAGTGACTTTTTGCACTCGTGACTAATACTGAGTTGGGCATCACTAGCTCAGAAAAACTGTTTATTCCAGTATACATTTCAAATCTCATTTGTCTTTTCTTTTTGCAGGCTAATTGGAGGGGGGGGGGAAATGAAGCCACCTGGGAAAGTAATTTGCAGCTGCAGGTTTTGTGTTGGTTTGTTCTTGGCTATTTGGCAGGGTGGGAGCAAAATTAGCTACCCCCCTCCTCCCCTGGGCAGGGATTCCACTTCTGTTTTAAAATTATTTTTAGCCTAGCATTGTATTCGTGGTTGGTTGGTGATGCTTGTTTTTACAGAAGAAAAAAAAAAGAAAAGAAAACGCCCAGAGAGAAAAATGTAAACTGCAGAGGAGAGCTGTGTTATCGCAGGCTACATCAAGGACTTCGGGTTGCACTGTGGCTACTTGGAAAACCATGCACACACGAGGCAGGAGTGCCAGTCACCAATATGCTGTCTCATCTACTTGTTCAGGGAGAAATCAAAGGCAGAAGCCTGAGTCCCCTGCAGTTAAGAGCATTGGGCGTTCTGGGCCACAAGAATCTGGATTCAGTGACCTCTACGCGATCTGCAAATAAAGCAGATTTGCCCAGACAGCAAGCTTTTGCACAATTCATCCTGCTTTGGTTTGGCAGCCAAAGAAAATGCTGACTCTTCAGCTCCTGCACTGAGACCATCCACTCCCTAGAAACAGGGAAGCACTTAAGCCATTTTAAATTCCACACCTAACATTTTATAAGGCCCCCTCCCACAGGCTTCAAGCCCCCTTGTGTTCATTGGGCTGGAAGCTCTGTCCCCAAAGTCCTGGAGCCTCAAATTTCTGTGGCTAAGCAAGACAGTTGCTAAGTCAGCTTTGCCCCATTTTACGACCTTTCTGGACACAGTTGTTAAGTGAATCTGACTTCCCCACTGAAGGTTGCAAAAGGATATCCCATGACCTCTGGGATGCTGCGATCGTCGTAAACATGAAACAGTGGCCAAGCATCCCAATTTTGGTCACGGGACCATGGGGATGCTGCAATAGTTGTTAAGTGTGAAAAACAGTCATGTCACTGTTTTCAGTGCTGTTGTAATTTCAAATGGTCACTAAATGAGTGGTTATAAGTTGAGGACTCTCTGTAATGGGCTGGGAGAGTAACTTTGAGGAACAAGAGGAAGAGCAGCTGCAGCAGCCAAGGCGATGGTCAGATAAGAGGACTCTGAATCCAAAGCAGGAATGTAATTTGAAAAAGCATCTCAGACCTTCCCTAGTTCTCTTTCAGCTGAAGGGAAGGAGGATGGGAGGAGACCCATTCAGAGTTGCAAGATTCTGTGCCTTAACCCTCTAATAAAAATAAGTTTAGTATTTATAACTTGGGTGTTCAACTTCTGAAGGGCTGAATAATTCTGGCCAATTAAGATAGGCATTGGAGCCCAGCTGGGATTCATTGGGCTTATGAAAGCCGCCCCCAATCTGATGCATCTCTGGCTGGAGAATGCTGGTTTGCATCTTCAAATGCAGCCCTGCTTGCTCTAATTGTGGTCTGTGGTGTTGATTCTCTTGGCACCAAGGCCCTTCCCTACAGTAATTTAATGGTCTTGCAGAACTTTGATTTTGGAGAAGAGCGATAACAGCAGTGCACATCTCTGCACATCTACCCAGAGAGAAGTCTCCACGGAGACAAGCAGGTAAGCCTGGATATTTCTGCCACCTAAGCCTGCTGAGCTTTGGGGGAAGATGAGAAATTGGATTTGAGACTTATTGTTTCATTAATAATTCCACTCCAGCCTTCTTGCTGTTTTTAACTGTTTGTACACCCATCAATTACACTTTTTTTAAAAAAAGGTGGTGCTTCATTGTTTGCTGGAGGCTCTCTGAAGCACATGACAAGGATATGAATGGGCAGAAATAAAGCAGTTGCCGTAGTTTTCCTGGTCAGCAAGGCAGAAGCTGGAGCAGCCAAGCAAATGAACTCACTGCCTATATATAATGGACCCTCCTCTTATAAATCCCTGTGGGCTAAATGTCCTTTCATCTATTTTAGCTGAAGATCTGCCCATGTTGTCCCAATCCATCAGTTCAGGCTGATACGTTATGAAGATTCAAACCATTGCTGGCATTAATGTCAGGACCTTTTTGGGGTTGGCCCCGCATTTTTGTAGAAATGTACTGTACTGATGGCCCCCAACCAATGTTGGCCATCCTGAGGCTTTTGAGATTACAGGTAATCCTAAAACAAAATTAAAACACAACATTCTGTATTTTAACTTTGTTTTGAATAAAATAAAAACCTATAATTAAAAAGAGATTACAGGTAGTCCTTGACTTATGAGCACAATTTTCTGCTGCCGTGGTGGCGCAGTGGTTTTAGTGCAATACTGCAGGTTACTTCTGCTGACTGCCGGCTGTCAAGGCTCAAGGTTGACTCAGCCTTCCATTCTTCCGAAGTCAGTAAAATGAGGATCCAGATTATTGGGGGCAATAGGCTGACTCTGTAAACTCCTTAGAGAGGCTGTAAAGAGGTATATAAGTCTAAGTGCTATTGCTATTGCTAAGCAAGGTAGTTGTTACGAGTTGTGCCTGATTTTATGATCTTTTTTGCCCGGGTTGTTAAGCGAATCATTGCAGTTGTGAAAAGAATTACACGGTCATTAAGCAAATCCTGTTCCTCCATTGACTTTGCTTGTTAGACACTGACTGGGAAGGTTGCAAAATGGTGATCACATGATCGCAGGATGCTGCAACGGTCATAAATACGTGACAGTTTGCGATGTCAGTTGCCATGCGCCCAAATTTTGATCACATGATCATTCTGGACCATACTGCAATGGTGATAAGTCACTTTTTTCAGTGCCACTGTAACTTGGAACCTGTCATTTAGCAACTGTTCAAAGTCAAGAACTATCTACATCTTATTTATGATATCACTGACTTGTTTATTTTGGAGCTGATTTTGCTTTAACTTAATCCCTTCTTTTAAATGGCTAATTAACTCGAGCTTCCTTTTTGAAATAGATATTGGTCATTCAAATTTTAAAATTGTTTGGTATTACTGAAACAACTTTTTTTTCCCCACTGGCTCTCAAATGCTACCAGGGAAATTCCTTCAAGGCAGTTAATCCATCAAATAACTGTGTTAAGAGATATACTGTATACATTTTGCCTTTAGGCTTGCCTTTTATATTTTAAAACACTTTAAGACGACTTTAACCTTAGCTAAGAAATTAAGCTAATGAGGGATACAGGATGTCTTGGGAACTAGAAACTTGCATACAATTAAAGAACTGCCATTTCCAGTTCTGATGGATTCTAAGCGAAGATCTAATAAAGGCAAGCGGAAGACCACTAAAAAATTGAAATACTTACGATTCTATCCGGGCGGGGCACGCTTTCCACCTTGCATTCCAGCCGGGCTTTGGCCCCCACTGCTGTCTGCTGGCTTGGTTCAGCACTAATAATGGGCGGACCTGGAAACAAAGGCACAACTTGAGCAAATGAGAGGCTTTGGAGTTCCTTGGTGCTCTCTGAGCTTGGTTGCTTGCATGCAGACATTTCATTATGGAACTACTGTAGATAATATGGTCAGTATTTGTGAGTGTAGGGCTTGCTCCCTCTTTATATACTATAGTTTGCCCTGCCAATGTTGCTGGGAGCGTGGCTTTATCCTCGGTACTTTTTAGGAAGAGACTGGACAACCATTTGTCCGAAATGGTATACGGTTTCCTGCCTGAGCAGGGGGTTGGACTAGAAGACCTCCAAGGTCCCTTCCAACTCCATATTATTATTATTATTGTTGTTGTTGCTGTTAATCATTGCAGTCAGCCAGATGTTCAGACTCGATTTGACATTTTTGTCTACCTATCGAGATAGGCAGATGTGGATGTTTGATGGTATTACAGATATTGTTGCAGGATGGAAGCAGTTCCTAGTAAGGCTGCCTTTTCCAATTGACTAATGGCGAATTTGTCAATGCCAATGATGTTCAAGTGGTGCTCCAGTTTTGGGACTGCACCTAAGGCACCCATTACTATTGGTACTACCCTTGCTTGTCTTTACCTTATTATTATTGTTTGCATCATCATCATCATCATCGTTTCCCTGATTAGGGTATTGTTTTCTTCTTGACTTTTGTGTGGTGTTAATCCCTGCTTATCTTATCCCTGCTGGACAGAATCGGGCCTTTTTGTTTCATTGGTAACTTTTTTATTGTCTCGTTTGAATGGTGTATAAATATGGTATATCTCTATGTGTCTATTGATGTCTGAATGCTAAGCTATTCCCTGATGTTTTTGGATTTAGTTTGGTCTAGAATGCCCAGTTGAAACTATGGTTGAGTCTATCCCTGTGTTGTGAAATTCAGGAGTTTTCATCGTGTCTTCTAATTGCTACTTGGTGTTCATGAATGCGTTCTGCGAGTCTTCTGTCTGTCTGTCCTACATGGTGACTGTTACAATTCTTAACACTGTTATCTTGCACGTACAGTGCTCAGAGTTGTAGCTGTATGTGTGCTATAGACATACCTATGTTTTAGATGAACGTTTAGTATGTTGTAGATCAGTGGTCTGCAACCTTGACAACTTCAAGACTTGTGGACTTCTGCTCCCAGAATTCCTCAGCCAGCTTTTGCTGGCTGAGGAATTCTGGGAGCTGAAGTCCACAAGTCTTGAAGTTGTCAAGGTTGCAGACCCCTGCTGTAGATGTGCTATCAATTGTTGTATGTTGTAGACACAAGCTCAAAGAACACTAAAAATTGAGCTGCATATATTCTCTTCCATTGAAAATTAGAACTTGTCAGGTGACCTCTTAGCTTCTCATTGAAAAGCTCCTTAAGACTTGGCTGGGGTCTTAGGGCCAGAAGTTCCCAGGCAACTGGAGTGGGGCTCAGAGAGCTCCATTGACAAGGCTGCCATTTTTATCCTCCCTCACTTGGGGGAATTATATTTCCAGCCTTTATGATGTTTCATAATATGTATTCATAGTTTAAAACAGAGGTCTCCAGCCTTTCTAGTTGGGGGCCAGGGGAAAAGGGAGGGGGAAGCATTTCACACATGCGCGCATGTGCACAAACGGGTCTGCGAGCACACACAATGCAAATGGGGTGGTGCTAGCACCCAAATGACACTTGCTAGCACTGCCTCATTTTTGCTGTGCGGGTGCTAACACCACCCTGTTTTCTAGCAGGCCACGGCCCGGTAGTGAGCCACAGCCCACAGGTTGGAGACCCCTGCTTTAAATTTTTGCTTAATTTCTTATTTATAATTTGATTGCTATTCATTGCCCAGAGTCTCTATCGTGAGATGGAAGGCTATATAAACTTGAATGAATGAATGAATTGAATTTGATAGGGAGTCATGATTTGATCACAATAGGATGGTTTTAATAAATGAGGATGGGAAAGTCCTACTTTCCTCACAGGAATTTCTCCCTCCCCCCAATTGGAAAATGGTTTGAGCCATCTCCCCTTTGCCAAATTCGCCCTTCCGAGTCTTGAACTCTCACCATTTACAGCCAGGGTCACCTCTTTCTCAGCCACTCCAATGCGAGGCACGATGGCTTTGCACACATACATGCCGGCGTCCTCTTGTGTCACTGCCTTGAGATGCAATGTGTTGCCATTACTCAGCACCTGTGGATATAAGTTGGCTCAGTTGACCTTGTCTTCCTTAATGGCCAAGGGTAATGTCCTTTTCCTGAGATTCTAAAAATACCAGGGAGTCCACGTGTTGGCCATCCCCAATTGAAAGGAACGAGTTGAAAGGAGTCTGGTAGCATCTTTCTCCACTTTTTACTAAAAGGTGTAAGTTTTTGTGAGCTGCAGCCTCCCTTCATCTATTGCATGGCATCTTTTGATTAAATTTGTTAAGTTGGAAGAGGTGCACCACACCACTCTTGGTTTGGGGTTACTGCTGATTAACATGGCATTTCTCCTACAATGTCCCCTATGAAGGCAGTGAGGGATTAATGGGAACAGACTTTTTGTTAGTGGTGGGCCCAGCTTTGATATTGTTTACCAGTTGCAAAGATAGAAATTTGGCAGGGCCAAGTTTAGACCTGGGGAGGCCCTAATATATGGGAAGAGAGAGAGCAGTATTTCATAATCTTGGTCACTTTAAGATGCATGGACTTCAACTCCCAGAATCACAGTTGGCTGTGGGATTCTGGGAGTTGAAGTCCATGCATCTTAAAGTGGCAAAATTGAAAAAAACAGCTGTAGAGCAATATTTGGCAATTGCTAACAAAAAAGGCAGCTGTGGAACAGTTGGACTTGGCTAGAATGTCATCAAGATGTATAACTGATCTGTGATGGGCTGGGGATAAGCTTTCTTTGTAACGCAGGGCGAATGCTGCAGAACATACTGTATTTTAATCCTCAGTGATGAGGAACAGGTGAGCCACAGCGGAGACCTCGCTTAATTTATGATGCCAAGAAATCAGGAGTCTGGTAGCATCCTTTCTGATGAACACATGTGATTGGAAAGCATCAACCTTCTCATCTCATCAGACACAACTCATGAAAGCTGATGCATTTTAATCAAATATGTTTGTCAGAAAAAATGCTACCAGATTCTTCATATTAAAATTGTAACTGTAATAAATGGAAAAAAAAATCTTTAGGCTGTGAATATCCCTGTTATTTGGCTGATGTCTGAGTCTGGTTAAGACTTTGGTGAAAATCTCCCATTCTGATGTCTTGTCTACTTGCTGATATTGAGCTTGTGGTAACTATCGAAATTGTAAGCAGGGGTCTTTAACCTTGGCCCTTTTATGACTTGTGGACTTCAACTCCCAGAATTCCTCAGCCAGCATGCCTGGCTGAGGAATTCTGGGAGTTGAAGTCCACAAGTCATAAAAGGGCCAAGGTTGAAGACCCCTGTTGTAGAGAAAATGGAAATTGACTGTCAAAGCTGAACTCACCACAGTGGATCCTTTCTTTGTCCAAGCCAAGGTAAGAGGTGGGTTCCCTGTCCAGGTGCAGGTAAAAGAGGCATCTGAGCCGATGTCCACTGTTAGGGGCTTGGGCTGGGAGACAAGGTGAGGTCCAACTATAGGAGCAAAAAAGAGGAAAGAGTTAGTTGAGCATCAATCACAGCAGCCAGGATGCTAGAGGCATCAGGACCCCACTACACTTTGTAGTTTATCTCTTATCTCTTTGTCTGTCTCTGAGTATCTACGGAGATTCTCAGTCATCCAGGTCATAGTTGTCCCACAGGTGCTTTTTCAAGAGGCAACTGGACTTTATTTTTCCTTGAAGACATTTTGTTTCTCATCTAAGAAGCTTCTTCAGAACTGACTGAAGTTCTTCAGTTCAGGTAGATCTGAAGAAGCTTCTTGGGTGAGAAGTGGATGCCTTCAAGGCAAAGCAAAGAAAGACCAGTTGCCTCTTGAAAAAGCACCTTTGAGTCTATCTCTGAGTGTTTCTCAATCTCAGCAACTTTAAGATGTGTTGACTTCAACCCCCCAAATGCCCCAGCCAATTATTGTTTCTGTATCCCTATAGACATTACAGGTTCAGTCCCCGGGGAAATGCTAGAAAAAAATGGTTGCTGAAACCCCCAACCCCTTCCCTAATTCCTTCTTGAAAGTTTTGACTCACAATGGACGTCCACCAGAGTGCTAACATTGGTGCTGCCCACAGCGTTGGACACCTCACACGACACAGGCTCTGTGAAGAAAGACTGGTCAACTGTGGCTTCGTAGCTGTCACCATTGGCCTCTGGGATGGGGACGCCGCCTTTAGCCCACCTGTCAAGGCAGATACGGTCTTAGGAGACCTTGACTCAACATGTTAAGCTCTAAAACTGGGTTCATGTCATGGGCAATGCAATGAGTTGTGAGAATAACTTGGGAGTAGGAGGAAGAGCTACAGAGCCTGACAAGAGATGTCTCGTTCCACAAAAGAGGGTCAAGAAAGCATCTCGCAGGGGATCCTCTTTTGTTCTCTGGAAAGTAAAGGTAAGGGAGGGGAGAAGTATTTTCAGACTTGCAAGTTTGGTTACTGTAACCCAGGGGTCTTCAAACTTGGCCCTTTTATGACTTGTGGACTTCAGCTCCCAGAATTCCTCAGCCAGGCATGCTGGCTGAGGAATTCTGGGAGTTGAAGTCCACAAGTCATAAAAAAGCCAAACTTGAAGACCCCTGGGTTACAGTAACCAAACTTGCAAGTCTGAAAATAAAGTTTATTGTAAAGTTACAGCTTTACAATAAAGGCAGTTTTGATACTCAAGATTTTGGTTCCCTGTCTGGACTACCACAAAGAGCTGACAAAAGTGTCCAAATAAATAAATTACAACCTGGCTTAACGTGGTGACTTGACTCATCCTCTGTGCTACAACAGTGGCTGAGTAGATTCTGGCAAGCACAACCCAAGCACGCACCTAATTTTACTCTACTTTTGCATTTTATAGGAACTCGGTTGCTTGGTTGTTATTGCCCCTCAGTAGAATCTGTCACCCTTCCACCAAAAAAGTTAATGTGCTTTCTGGCCATTGAAAGTGTGCCCATGCTTGTCTTAGAAGAAAAAGTTGTGATATTGGGGCCTTTTTAATTTACTCAAGACATCAATAAAGGCATAAGAGCAAGGAATTACTCCTTTTCTGTTAAGATACTAGAAGCCAAAATCCATAATGAAGCTGACTGGTAGAGACTTAGAACAGACAAATAGAGAATTTTTTATGCAATGCAAAATTGTCCTGGGGAACTTCCTGCCACAAGAATGGATGGTGGCTACCAAATTAAAATTGGATCAAAGAAATCAATGGAGAATATCATTGATTACTATCAATTGGATTGGAACCATCACTAGATTTAGCAATCATACACTTCTGAAAACTAGGGAATACAAGTGGGAAGTAGTGTAACTTTGAGCTGATCCATGCTAGCTAATTCTTACATATCAGCTGGCCAGCATAATCCTTGCTTAATAACTGCTTGCTCAGCGATTTACAACTGGTCCTTGAAATTGCAGCCATTGCAACATGTCAGTAGTCGTGTGATTGTGATTTAGGCGCTTGGCAACCAGCGGGCATTTATGACAGTTGCATTTTCACATGATCACCATTCATGACCTTCACAGCCAACTTCTGACAAATACATTCATTCCGTGGGGAAGCCAGTAGGAAGTCACAAATCACAGTCAATGACTGTGGGCAATTTTCTTGTTGACCGTAGCTGGAATCAATGACCCTAAGTCTGGTGATGTCACATGGCATTTCATTTTACAACTGCACCGCTTAGCGATGTAGAGTTGCCGATTCCAATTGTGGTCAGTAAGCAAGGACTAGCTGTATAAGTGAGCATGCAAATCCTCCATGCTGCCATTAGAGGGCATCTCAACCACACAGTTGCTCTACTTGAACTCTAGAGTAGTCCGCAGCTTCTTCATATTCAAATTCTTACCGATAACCTGTCACTTCAGGATTGGAGGTTGCGGTGCAGAGGAAACTCACTTTGCCACCCTCAGGCACAGTTTGTGGTTGTACTGCCAGGATCACAACTGGTGGATCTGTACGGTGGAGAAGAGGGATGGGAAAAATCCCAATTCTTTTACTTTTCCATAGTACAATATAGTGACCCCAGAGATCATTAAAGTCACCGTTCTTTTGCACCCTAATCTTCACCCAACAACTCTTTGAAACACATTTTGCAAAGTGGGAGAATTATTATGGGATGCATTGTCTGATTTTCCAACAGCGACTTGGCTCCCTTACAGTCTTGTTTGCAGATCTAGTTGGATCCCTAGTGCAGGGGTCCCCACCCCCTGGTCTGTGGACCAGTACCAGGCCAAGGCATGCCAGCAACTGGTCTGCACAAGCAAGCAAAGCCCCATCTGTGGGATGCAGGCAGCACACAAAACCACGCCCCCTCCAGTCCGCAGAAAAACCTCTCTCCATGTAACCAGTCCCTGGTGCCCAAAAGGTTGGGGACCTCTGTCCTAGTGGAACTGCCAATAGCTGCTCCGTCTAAACAGAGTAAGACCTTTTTGGAGGCTACACCAAAACCAGGAAGCTACATTCCCAGTTGCTTGTCCCTTCAGTTTTCCTGGGCTTCTCTCAAGGATCAGGTATCTGATTTTCAGGACCAGCTGCAGTAAATATTTGTCTCCAACTTCATGGTTTGACTGTGCTTCCTCGTGATCAGGGCGTCTAATAACAGTCTTAGAATGCTGGTCAGCTCCTACGATACAGGCAGCTCATACGTACAAAACAGTATAGAATCCTAAAATTGGAAGAAGTTACTTTTAGCCATCATGTCCAACCCACAGTTCAGTGGAGGAATCCAAACTAAAGCATTCAGTCCGAGGGGTGTCTTCTTCTGCTTGGACACTTCTGATGAAGGTCAACCTACTCCACCCCCAGATCACTAGTTCCATTACTGAATGGCTCTTGGAGTTCAGAACCTTTTCCTAACTTTCAGACAAAGAATCTGCCATCCCATAATTCAAATTATTATTTTTGCCTTGCATCTGGAAACAAAAGACAACATCTCAGGCATTCTTTCTGCTATCTGAAGAATGCTATTGTATGTGTCCTCTCTTCTCAAGGTTAAACATCCTCAACACCTTTTTCATTTCTAGTGATAAAAGAATTTCCCCCTTCACAAAGCAAATTACAGTCTGGGAATCCTAGATGACCTTAGCCCAGATCTTGGATTGACACCCTTGAATCTTTTGTTGTTGTTGGTGGGGACGATACTCCATGAGGATTTCCTGCACTTACTGGAGGAGGGTGGGCAGGACCCAAATGTAATAAATACATCTGTGGCTAGGGATGAGCTCAGGAACTGTTGCTGGAATTGGGTATGTCCAGTTCAATGAAGAGACGGACAAGGGGAGACATGATAGCAGTGTTCCAATGTCTCAGGGGCTGTCCCAAAGAAGAGGGAGTCAAGCTATTCTCCAAAGCACCTGAAGGCAGGACAAGAAGCAATGGATGGAAACTAACCAAAGAGAAAAGCAACCTAGAACTAAGGAGAAATTTCCTGACAGAACAATTAATCAGTGGAACAACCTGCCTCCAGAAGCTGTGAATGCTTCAACACTGGAAGTTTTTAAGAAGAGACTGGACAGCCATTTGTCCGAAATGGTATAGGGTTTCCTGCTTGAGCAGGGGGTTGGACCAGATGACCTCCAAGGTCCCTTCCAACATTATTATTATTATTATCGATCATCGCACAGTCAGCCAGATGTTCAGACTGGATTTGGCATTTTGTCTACCTATCGAGTCCTTACCCAGGACCTGGGATAGGCAGATGTGGATGTTTGATGGTATTACAGATATCGTCGCAGGATGGAAGCAGTTCCTAATAAGGGCGCCTTTTGCAATTGACTAATAGCGAATTTGTCAATGCCAATGTGTTCAAGTGGTGCTCCAGTTGTTTTGGGATTGCACCCAAGGAGCCTATGACTATTGGTACTACCCTTGCTTGCTTTTGCCACAGTCTTTCTATTTCTATTTGTAGGTCTTTGTATTTTGTTATCTTCTCCAGTTCTTTCTCTTCTATTCTGCTATCTCCAGGCACTGCCACGTCCACTATCCAGACTTTTTTGTCTTTCTTATCGACAATTGTTAAGTCTGGGGTGTTATGTTGCAGGTGCTTGTCTGTTTGTCCCAGAGCAGTTTAATTTTATCATTTTCTATGACTTTCTCTATTTTATGATCCCACCAGTTTTTGCTTACAGGCAAATGATATTTTTTGCAGATCTTCCAATGCACCATTGTTGCTATTTTGTCATGCCGCTGCTTGTAATCAGTTTGTGCAATCTTCTTGCAACAGGTTACCAAGTGGTCCAGTGTTTCTTCAGCTTCTTTGCATAGGAGGCACTTACTGTCTGTTGCTGTCTTCTCAATTTTGACTTTGTATGCATTTGTCCTTAAGGCTTGGTCTTGTGCAGCCAGAATTAGTCCCTCGGTCTCTTTCTTCAATTTTCCTGCTCTTAGCCATTGCCAGGTTTTATTATTATCTGCTTTCCCAGCTATTTTTTTAATGTATTGGCCAATCATTGTAGTCAGCCAGATGTTCAGACTGGATTTGGCATTTTTGTCTACCTATTGAATCCTTACCAAGGACCTGGGATAGGCAGATGTGGATGTTTGATGGTATTACAGATACAGATATTACAGGATGGAAGCAGTTGTTGTTGCTGTTGTTATTATTATCCCTTCCAAACTCAGTGGTCTACCTGGCCATTCCTTGACCACAATCCCAAGCGCAGGTATCCCCAACTCATCCCTCCTTCATCCAGTTCTCCTTCTGAACATGTCCTTGCCTTGGATACTCACACTGAACATTAATGGTGACTGAGGTCTGCTTGCCAGCAGGGGCTGCAGGGTTGCTGACGCGGCAGGTGAAGGTGCTGCCCATATCTCGGCTGCTTGGCATTAAGAGGAGGGTGCTGACAGCCACTTCCCGCTTGCCATCATCCATCAGGGACTGCAAGAGAACAAAGGAGAAGCATTTATATCCAAACTTCTAGCAACTCTAGGAAGACAGAGCCGTGTGTTATAGACCTAGAATGCCATGGATTGCTCACAATTGATTTGGAGATGAGTCTTTTCCCGTTCCCCTCTTCCTTACTCGCTGGCCCACATTTTGAGACTTCACCTTAACTTGCCCATTTCTCAATATCATAGAGTTGGAAGAGACCTCGGAGGTCTTCTAGTCTAAGTCCCTGTCGAAGACAAGGGTCCTCATATCATCCCTGGTGGCGCAGTTGTTAGAATGCAGTACTGCAGGCTTATTCTGCTGACTGCCGGCTGCCAGCAGTTTGGCAATTCAAGTCTTACCGGCTCAAGGTTGACTCAGCCTTCCACCCTTCCGAGGTTGGTGAACTGAGGACCCAGATTGTTGGGGGCAATATGTGGACTCTGTAAACTGCTTAGAGAGGGCTGTAAAGCATCGTGAAGTGGTATATAAGTCTGCTATTGCTATTGCTATCCCCCCCGAAATAGTTGTCCTAACTGGTCTTGAAAAACTCCAGTGATGGAGCATCTACAATTCCAGTAGATAAAACTCTTCCATTGCTTGTCTGTGAAGATTCCCAATCATCCAAGTCATGGTCCCAAAGGTGCTTTTTCCAAAAGGCAGCTGGGCTTTCTTGTTTTTCTCCTTTGAAAACATTTCGCTTCTCATTCAACAAGCTTCTTCAAGATCTCTGAATGAGAGGATGAGAAGTGAAACGTTTTCAAAGGAAAAAAAAACCAAGACAAGTCCAGTTGCTTTTTGGAAAAAGCACCTTTGGGTTTCCACTATTTAATAATTCTCAATACTATGAAATCCCTCCGTATTTCCAGATTGAGTCTCCCTCTGACAATTGCACAATGTGCAATTCTGACAACTAGTGATTGAAAACCGCCAGGCTGAGTTTACCCCCCCAAAGCACAAATTCTCAGGTTGGCCCCATACTCTCTTTGGGGACCGAAGCTGAACACTCACTGACTCACCTTGGAGTAAACAGCTGACTCTTGCCTTTGCCCATCACGATACCAGGTGATTTCAGCTGCTGGCTTAGCTCCAGCTGCACGGCATGAAAGGTTATAGGGGATGTTGGAGATGACATGGACAATGGGGCCACTGTGAATCTCAGGGTCATTGGGGGGGACTGCAAGAAGAGAGGCAGAAAGGTATGATTAGTTGCCTTGACTTGGAACGAGTCTATTGACAAGCAGGCCTGGGAATGACCAACTGTTGGCTAACTGGAGTACAATTCATTCACTAGCATAAGAGAATATTTGTAGCTTGGAGTCCTTGATATTCTCTGAACTTGGTTGTTTTCTTGCAGATGTTTCATTATACAACTAGGCAACATCTTCATTGCACTGAAAATTAACACCAACCACTTTGATGAGGTTACCTGACAGGAAACAATCAAAGTCGGACAGCACCAAGATCTCCACAATTCATTGACTTTTGCTCATTCTGTCTCTTGGTCTGATTTCTGAACAATTGGAAATATAATCAGCAAAGAGCAGTGATGCAAGCTCTCCAACATCCCCGCTGGCTTATAATTCAATCTACGCTGCCAGGAAAAATATGGAGAAAACAAGGCTTATGCTAGACCGGAATAGGTAAGCTTGATTCATATGTAGCCCATTGCAATGAACCATATCTGAGGGTGAAATGATTATCTTTCTGCAACAATGCTTTAAAAATATGGCTGGAGGAGAAATGGGAACAAGAAGCCCTCAGAGACAAACTGGTCCATTTCTACTCTTGCCATAATGGAGAATATGTATGTAGCCCAGGATTGAATTCTGGAGCTCTGAGCTGTTTCTCTTCCTGCAAATATTTTGTTACCGGGTTAAATATCATCATCAATGCAGGATAGTTTGCCAGCTCCATTTTCTTATGCATCGATGAGTCAGCAAACTCTGTTTCCCCCCCTCCCCCAGCACTAATGGTATTACCTAGTTGAGTAATGGAATGTTTGTAAGATCAGAAAGAAGCTCAAAAAATGCCCAAAATTCAAACTTTAAATGTTTAAGATCATTCCCCCCCCCACCCCAACTAATCCAAAAGCATACCACTGAAATTGGCAGTCATTTTTGTATATTTTGACCGTATAATTTGGAACTTGGCAGAGGATTTAAGGAGGGGAGGATGGAAAAATTGAACTTAAAATGTGTTGCCTGAACATATGTGGACATGCAACAAGATCTCTAATATGCAATCTTGTAAGAAATAAACAATGATGTAGGTTAGTCCTCGTTTAGTCATTGCTTTGTTTAATGACCATTCACAGTTATGATGGCGATAAAAAGGTAACTTCACAATCCATCCTCGCACTTATGACTTGCAGCCTTCACAGGTCCATAAAGCAAAGGAAAGCTGTAGGAAGATTGTAAACACAGTCACTTAATGACTGCTTTGCTTAATCGCCAAGTTGTTGGTCCCAATTGTGGCCACTAAACAAGGACTATCTGTAATGAGAAGAGTTATATTGTTTTAAATTTCAGCAAATATCTTTAATACCTGGCAAATAATTTTTATTTCATGGACCTCTGAGAGAAGGGATTCTCAGATCACACTTTCTGTCCAAATTATCTTCATCAGTGGAAATGACTTCAAGATTTAACATGGGCACAGCCCAGCTTTCTCCAGAAGCCATCATGAGTTTGCACAACAAGCCATATCCCTTTTCTCCTAGCTCAGTTTAGGCTTTCACGATACTCTCGTGGAAAGATCAACCAGAAGGGTCAGCAAGAGACCCTGGCAGACCATATTAGATGTTTGAGTTTCTCTTGTGGTGTATTAGCTGGGGCTGCTTTTCAGGGGGCCACAAATTGGGAATTCTGAGACCCTGGGATCGTCTCACCAACCAAAACAGGAAGATAGGAGAGAACTCACTAAGTACAGTAAGTTTGGCTCGCTGGGAGCGCAATGCTGCTTGTGTGGCTTGACACTCATAGACAGCATCATCGTCTAGTTCAGCATAGTCAATGCGTAGGTTGTGTTGACCGGCAGAGGCGTCTCCTACAATAGAATAGCGGGACCAGCCTGTGGAAAAGCGATGGGGTAAGAGGTCAGCCTTACTAGATAGACCAGATAGGAAATAAGCTAACTCTGCAGGTAGTCCTCGACTTACAACAGTTCATTTAGTGACCGTTCCAAGTTACAACGGCACTGAAAAAAGCATTAGTGACCATTTTTCACACTTAATGACCGTTGCAGCATCCCCAAGGTCACATGATCAAAATTCGACCGCTTGGCAACTGGTTAGTATGTATGAGAGTTGCAGGGTCCTGGGGTCATGTGATCCCCTTTTGCAACCTTCTGACAAGCAAAGTCAAAGGGGGAAGCCAGACTCACTTAATGCCAATTTACTGACATAATTGCAGTGGTTCACTTAACAACTGTGGCAAGCAAGGTCATAAAAGAGGGCAAAATTCACTTAACAACTGTCTTGCTGAACAAGAGAAATGTGGGGTTCAGTTATGGTCGCAAACCGAGGACTACCTGTACTTTACTGTAAAGTTACATTAATAGAATCTTGCAAGTCTGAAAATAGACATCTCCCATCCTCCCCTTTACAGCCCAAGAACTTTGGGGTGGTTTCTTCCTGGGCCCACTCTGCAGCTGTGGGCTATGCTCCCTCTTCTCTGATCATCCCCGAGGCAGCCTCTCTTTGCCCCAGTGGTCTCCCCAGGTCTTTCCCACACACCATTACAAGGATGAAACCAGGAGTGAAAAATTCACTTCTGTGTGACTCAGGATAAGGTTGAGTTATGATCAACACATACTGCCGTTTGGGGTAACCCAGTATTTTTGCCAATAAAGGTTCAGGGTGTCCTTTCTCCAATCATCAACATTGTCTCTCTCAATAGGTCGCGATATACATACATACCGGGTAAGTCTCTCTCTCCCCCTAAGGCCAGTCCATCTTTGGTCCACTGAACCATGCCACGGTAGCCCATGATCACACACGCTAATGTCACTGACTGACCAGACACAATCACTTGATCCATGGGCTGTTGAAAGAAATAAGCTGCCAGCCCTGCCAAAACAAAACAAAGATTTAAAGTCAGACTGTTTAGTGATCCTAATAAAGAAATCAGGACTTTTTGGCTGGAGCTTCAGAGGAGATACGCTCGAACCGATTTCCTGAATTCAGACTGGTTGTCTGCCAAGACCGGCATTTTGCTTCTGCCAGTGGCCCATTTATCTTGGAAGGTTTACAGGAGTGAAGGAAACACAAGCTTCTCCAATATTGTCTTCAGGCTCTGCTACTAGTGGTATACTACTTCTATACATGGAGGATCAACATCACTGTTTTATCTGAAAGCAGTTTTTCTACCTGGAGGATGTTTTTTTTTGTGATTGGCAGTTCTGAATTAGTCCATCTTTTTTTTTTTAAAGGTAAAATTATGCCACCTGTAACATGAATCAGGGCAACCCACCCTATCTGAAAACCTGCCGTGTGGTTAGCAGACATCAATATGAAGAAAAGTTCTATGCTCCTATCAATATGCTAATTAAATATTTGCTTTGCATGCAAAACATTTCAGGTTAGCTCCACCCCCTTCCCTCCAGTCAGACTAAGAATTATCTTCATTTGAAATTTAACAGGGGCATTCCAGAGCATGGGAGGGGTGGATGATAACCACTGCCAAGGACTTGTCAGACAACATTTTGAATTTCATGGAGATCTCTCACACTTGCTTAGTTGTGAGGAGAGCAGGGGAATGTGCTGAATGAGTGGGGATTATCTATGGCACAATCAACTTCTCAGCAGTCTCATGCCACCTGGTTTTCCATTACACTCCAAGGGAAGGTATCAAAAGGAGAATTTTACCAGTGGGCCTTTTTGCTATTGCAAGTTGCTCCCTCACCTTGCAACTTGGAGCAAGGCTCACAAACACCGCCCAAACAACCAGAACAATGCCAAGAGATCTGTGTCCTGCCCCCACCAACACCCATTCATGATCAGAATGTGTTTCTTGCCTATTCCCAGCCTATTTCTCTTCCTGTGGCCCAGCCATTTCCCACTGCAGTTCAAAGCCTGCCTACTCAGAAACAATTCCTACTGAATTAATTCAATGGGACTTACTCTTTAAAGTAAGGACTGCATTCTTCCTCTCTTTTCTGAGAGCTGAGAAAGGCAAAAATGTGGAGAAGAACAAAAGGTAGATAGAGTGTGCTTTATTATTTTTAGAGATGACACCATTGCCCTCAGGTTCCTGGCACAGCCTTATCTCTCCACACAGATGCTCAGGTGCAGCTCCGTGGGCTGTGAATTTGCTCTTCGGCCAAGTAAGGTTCTGCTGGGCTCCCCAGTGCTCCTACGAAACTACTTTCTTTCCTGCTTTCCTCTGTCGCTCTTGGCATATGCATTTAAAGGCAGCTCAGAGTTGGCAGGCATCCAGGATTCTAGGTGGACAGGTGTGTGCATACCAATGTGCTATCGGATGACTAGAATCCTAGACCTCAGACTTTTCTTTCTCCTTAAATGAAGGCAGGAGCAGATAGTCCAAATGATTGTGATGACACGCATGTGCATAGATTGGTAGATCCTGTAACACTGATTTTATTACATTAGTTTATGGAGGGTGCATTGTACTTTTGAATTCCATTCTTTAGTGAAATAGTGGAACAGATTTACAAAGGAACAAAAAAGAGACTCTAGAAAGAGTACAGAGAAGAGCAACTAAGATAGTTAGGGTGCTAGAGGATAAAACATAGGAACTGGGTTTGTCTAGTCTAATGAAGGGAAGGACTGGGCTGACATGATAACAGTCTTCCCAATATTTGAGAGATTGTCACCAAGAAGAGGGGGACAATTTATTCTCCAAACACCTGAGAGCAGGACAAGACGTAATGGATGGAAAAAGAGAGAAGCAACCTAGAACTAAGGAGAAATTTCCTGACAGTGAGAACAATTAATAGTGAAATGGCTTACCTTCATAAGTTGTGGGTGCTCCATCACTGGAGGTTTTAAACAAGAGACTGGACAATGATTTGTCCAGAATGATATAGGGTCTCCTGCTTGAGCAGGGAGTTGGACTAGAAGACCTCCAACTTCCAACTCTGTTATGCTTTTATTCTGTTAACTGTTGCTTGTCATGTAGGCAGACTCCAAAATGAGCGCTATCACCATTCAAGAGGTCTCTTACACAAACGAATGTCATGGTTTTTCCATATTGATTGCTGATTGGACCCAGCATAGGGTGCTGGGTCCAATCAAAACTACCTAAATGTTCATAAATGACAACTCAGATCCATGGAGCTATTTCAAATGTAGGTTCCTTGATAACTTGAGGGTAAATAATGTTCACAGGCAGGCATCCTCCAGGGACATAGGTCTGCAAATCCCATTAGGTTGACATATGTTAGGGAAAATGGGAATTGTAGTCCAATGCACCCAGAAGATTTAAGTTAGGGTATTAATTCCTACCTAAAGTAAATCCAGTTACCCATGCAAAGCGGTTTGCCCTTGCCAAATCTACTCTCCACCTCTTTTGACCACTGGGAAGTTGTTAAGATTCAAGGAGCTGAACCGAGACTGTCTTAACGCACAGATCCCTCCAATGTAAAAGCCTGCTTAACTGCAATCCAATAAGGGTTAGCCTTCTGTTCTATTGTTGAGAAGTTTACTCCCTCCATGAGGTTCTGAATCATGGGATAATCCTCTCAAGAGGGTCAAGAAGACTGAGACACAGAATCAGCTAAAGACAAAGGCTTAAATGGGAGTCAGAAAGGCAGACTAGCCCATCTCTCTTGGGCTTTAGTTACCCCAGAGAGGCAGGACCAAATCCAGCTGATCAACCTTCTGAGAAAAACTGAAATGAATCCCTAGGGCTATCATGAACATCAAGAAACATAGAACCCGTTTGGTTATTGCAAGTGGTGTTAAGAACCTCTTCGCATCTCCAAACTGTTGATGCAATTTGACTGGGGGACAATGAAAGCTTTAGAGCAGGAGTAGCCAATTGTAGCCATGAGGGCTGCAATGTGGCCTTCAGAATGCTTTGGATGGTACCTGGTTCCAGTGGTTAATGCAATCCATAATGATTAAGAAAACATACTAATGTAATTGCTTCATTTTAATTCACTGTACATTGAATCAAGTCAAACTTAGCTTCTATGCCAAGTCACCCACTCCCAGAGTGTGACTCTCACAACACCAGTCCAAAAAGAAGCATGGTTTCAGCTCATATTATGCATCCTTGACTAACAGCGATGGCACTTGGCTACTCCGAGTAGGAAGAACTCCTGAGTTTCAAGGGCCTCTGATCTTTCCTGATTCTGTCTGGGGTCACCTGTTCTCTTGAAGCTTTGACCTAGTGACAAAAACCAAGAGATGGATCAGCAGTCCCATCTTCCTTGATGTTTCCTCTAGACAAGGATGTCCTTCGAGGACCAAATAGAGACGGGAAGAAAGCAGCAGTGGCAGACACGGTTCCTTTGAGAGCATTTTGTCAAAGATCTCCTAAAATGTGAGTCCACAATATTCCTAGCAAATTTGTTCACAACTTCTCTTTCTCTTATTTACAGATACATCCACAGACACATTCTTATGACCAACCAAAGGAACTATCCATCTGGGTTTTCACCTGGAGACTTTCAAGAGCCTTCTACTATTCACAAGAGCATCATATGCGGCAGTGTTACTTAAAAGCTATAGGTCAGCTCACTGCCTACCTATGACCCTGGAAGCCCCTCTTTGCTCCAGCTATAGCTGGTTGCTATAGAGAAGTTACTATCTTCCAATTCAGGCCTATGCAATTTCGATGTATGAGATCACAAATACTATGCCAGTAAAAGCCACTAGCAGAAGACCAATGGACGGTGCATGGCCATGGAAGTGGACTGGACTGGGAGCTCTGGAAAAGTAGGGGTGCTGAAAGACCAGGCAGCAGGGTGGTGGAAAGAGAGATAATTGAACTCTTTCTTTCTAACCACGGTACATTTGTTTCCTCTCTCTTTGGAGCTGAAATGGACAAGGAAAAGCAGAGTCTTTCAAGTGACTCCAAGCCTTTGAAAGACACTCCACTGTTCCATCTCAAAAATAATGATGACAGCCTGTCACTCACAGAATGAATAGCTGAGTAATTATGTGAACTTGGGATGGGTGGCGGGGTGTGCACGTGTGTATGTGTCACATTCTCCAAAGCTGTGTCTGCTCTATTTTGTGAACTGAGGAAAGAGAGATGTTTTGATGTTTCAATTACTGTATGTTTCACCTTCTCCTAGGAACCATTGGGAACAAATCTGACTAGTGCTTAGTTTTAAATCATGGAATTAACATCCCACAAAGGACGTCCAGTCCTGAGCACAAAGCCATATTTGGACCTACATCTCTGAGGCTGGTGAGAAGTTAGCAGGTCTGGGGTCTGTTGACAGCTTGGGAGGGCAGGGCTCAGAAAAAGTGTCTGAATGTAATGACTTATCGGTAGAACAGGAATAGACTGTGAGAAAAGGCAGAATCTGTTATCATCTATCTTGAGCAAGTTCTTTTGGCATGAGAACCAGCTGCCTCCACAAGACAAGTTAAGATTAGAAACAAAGGAGTCTCAGATTAACTCAAGAGATGAGCAGTCCCAACACATCTGAAATAGATGAACGGCTTTGATCAATGAACAGAGATTAACGTGAGGCATGAGGAATGCAGATATCAAGACAGATGTAAGAGGCAGCTAGGTTCTCCAGGGTTGTATTCATGTAACAAAAACTTAATCTAGTTTTTGAATTAACTTTTTGGGTGATTTGTGCATTGTATTGGTTGTAAATTGATGGTCTGGGCTCAGGCAACATGGCAAGCCATATGAAACCTAACCAAGATTGGAATCAACCCGGCTTAGCATTTGGGGTGAATGGAGCCACCAGATACGGACGTGGGTAAACCATGTTGCGTGAAACCACACAATGGGAATAGGAAGGTCCTCTCTTTGTATGGTATACAGTATTGCAAGAGTTGTTATTTTAAACCACGACAGGCAGAGTCTCTTGCCACTGGCCACACTGCCTGAAGTTGATAGGGATATAAATCCAAAAACA